CAAAGCCCTCTTGAAGCAAAGCTTTCCGCACTGCCGGTGTAACTTCAATGACTATGTTGACACTGTTGAAGTGTTTCAGCTTCGTGACAAATTTTATGTCAGTCTGCTGAATGTTTGCGAAACTATTTAAGGAAATAATATTATTTACTATGTCCTCGGGCGAATTTAAGCCCTCCAAATTTACATTTCTGACAAGCATGCGAGGATTCAGTTTCGTGGCTTGAGTGATGGAATATTTTGATCCAAGGTTGTTATTGAGACTGGTTTTGAGCGTATTAAGTGATTTATCATCTTTGCAGTGAACTGCTACACCATTCTTTATTCGTTTAGTGGAGTTGATGCAAACGTTCAGATTAGCTGGGTTAACACGTTCACTGCGAACGACGCTGATCCGCGTCCGACCGATGTTTAACGAAAGGCGGCGGGCGCGGATCCGCACTTCTGGCTGATATAAACTCACAAGACTGTGGTGTTCTGAAATTAATTAAAGAAACATCTTTAATAGGGTTTCAAGACATGTTTCGTCTTACTGCACGAAAAAAAAAACGAGATAGAAGAAGAAAATGTATATATGAAATAGTTTTCAATTACACAACGCACATCCAATAGGCTTACGACGCGAATCCGCGCTTCGCTTGTCAGGCGCCTAAAATCGTTCAGCCGCTACCGTGCGCGCGGCGCGAGGCAGGTCGCAGCGAACGTGTTAACATATGACGTGATTTCTTGGAAATATTCTTGCTATCAGCATTTTCCACTGCACCTGCCTTGATCAGCAACACAGATGAACTAGCCGTGGATGGTTTCTTTGAAATATCGCTAAATGTGCTTGGATTTGGTGGCAATGCAATTTTTGGTGTCACATAAACATTATTTTCGTAAGACTTCAATAATGTTTTCTGTAGTTCACTGGAGTACTCCAGTTCTGACATCAATCGCTTTGTAAGCTCCATTTCCCTATTGAGACATTCAACTTCTTCTCGTAAGATACTAGTCTCAGTTTTAGATGAATCACATTTCTTATATAGGAAGCAACGGCAGTCATCACCGACCCAGAGCAGATTTTCACACTCTGATTATTTTTATCCAGCTGTCTTTGACCGAGACACAAGAAGAGTGGAATTTAGATGCGCAAATATTACAGTTAATTGCTTTAGTACTCACTGTAAAATTATTCGCGCATTCCTTGCACAGCTCGACATCGGGTGCCATGACGAAAACATAGACCCAATGTGTGCAGTCAAAAATAGACCGTAGTGTATAACTACTTATGGAGAAATTGCAATAGATCAAAGACAACAGACGATATTCACATACCTAACTCACACGAAAATGCAGACACTACGCACTTACACGTATGCTGAAACACAAAATTATTTATTGTCTATGCTATGCTATCACAGCTCGTTTCCTATTCTCTAACTCCTTGGACCAGAAGGTTCCTTACCTTGAACTTGAGTAAAGTGCAGTTTTCCTCATATGAACCTGTCAAGTCCCTGCTCAGGGACTCCACGGTTGATTCTATATCTGAGCCCCTACAAAGGCTATATATTTCTTAAGTTGGTAGCAGCCTTACTTTTGTTTGAATTTAGGAATATTCTTTAATTTCACTAATATATCTTGAAAAAATGAAGTTGGTGTTAAAGTTTACGTATGCGGTATCTGTGTGTGCCAAAACTCTCTCGTTATTTTTAGGCACCACGGATAACTGTGTTAGTCTTGAAATATGTGCACGTGATTCGTTAAATGTGTTTCATGAGCGACTAAGTAGTAATTCGCGCTCCCACTAGATAAATGCCTGTTTCTGGCACTATGGTTTATTCATTAGCTGCATTACAAAATGTTTATTAGGAATGTTTTCTATAAAACGAAGTATTTATTCCAATAATACCTTGTTTCTGTAACCGCCAAAGCTTCACTTAAAACCGACGTGTATTTGGCCTAAATTATCTGATAAAATCATATGATGAAACGAATTTACCTGTAACTGATGTTCAATCCTAATGAGATGGTGTCTCGTCGAAGTAAATAGAATATATAATGTAGAACCCTCGTATCTGACCAAACCCACGAGTTCAAAGCTCGCACGCAGCAATGGAAAGCGGCTCACCGCGCCCTCTTACCTTCCTGGTCTCTGGCCGCCCATAAACTCTCATTTTCTTCAAAGCCAAGTTGTTGCAATGGAGGGAGCTATTAACTTTGACTTTAGGATCGAACATCACTTACAGGTAAGTTCGTTTGATCACGTAATTATGTTCCGGTCTCGTCTCGTAAATAGAATAGATAATGGTAGATGTTCAAAGAGAGTTGCATCAGCATGCTACTAACGCTGTACAATAGTAAACGATGTTTTGAACACATCTACACAGATTGTATGTGTCAACTAAATGTACATTTCCATTCTAACAACTCCGATTAGGGCTTTTAACAACAGGTAATACGACGTACACATAGGTTCACAAATTACCATTCGTTACATGTTAACAAGCAAATAACGTAATAACATAGTTATGTTTGAGGTGTGGAGACTTGGTTAACCTCAAATGCCGCTTGAGCAAAGCCCACAATGCACATCTATCGGCCAACCTTCGGTCCAGTTGTCTAATATGTTCAGCGATTCCTTGACATTGCTGAAAACTTAAAATTGACGTGTTAACCGTTTTCCAGGAATGAGAGTTTATAGGCGACCAGAAAGGAGGAAGGTAGGAGGGCGCGGTGAGCCGCTTTCCTTTGCTGCGTACGCGCTTTGAACTCGTGGGTTTGGTTAGATACGAGGGTACTACATTATCTATTCTGTTTACGAGACGAGCCCGGAAAATAAATATACGCGGTAGGCAACGTAATTATTGTAATTTTTTTGGAAAAATCGCATCGTGTTCGGCCTTAATATATTTTTTTGTTGATTCGATTTACTCACAATTCTTTTCATTTGCAGGTATATTCCTCCCCAGCAGTACGTACCTCCCCAGGCGTATCCTCAAACCGCTTACGCCCCCCAGATGCCGTACCAGGCGTATCCTGGCATGTAATATAAGGCCCCTGATCTAGCCGGGTGGTCTACCGGCACACTGAAATTCTAAGCAACCTTCCACCAGCTGGTGACTTTCGGGCGATATAGTGATGTCTCTTAAGTACAATTTTCAAATATAGATGTGCGGCATGTGAACTTTGTGAGAGTTTGCTGCGCCTCACCATCAGTACTTCGGTTGGTAGCGCGGGTCTATTACAAAAGTAAAACCTTGGGCATAAGTCGTCCATCGCTTTCAAATACGTTATTATTGGATTACATGCATTGAAAGGGATCAGCAATTTAGGTATGTCAAGTTTGAGTACATGATGAACATATTCTTTTTCTATGATCTGTAAAATTGTTAGAGCCATGTGACACAACATGAAATTTGATATGAAATTCCACGTGGAATGTGGGAAACTTGAAATAATGTATGATGCTGGGTTGCCAATTGCTCAGCCAGTTGTTATACATATTATATTACACATAACATCGCTTATTGCTTTTTTGTCAGGTATATTTTTTTCGTGTCAAGAATTCCACATGTAATTTCATAGTGTGTCGTAGCGTCCTTACTGCTGATTTTCATTTAAATGACATGTTTAGCGTATGGCATTATGTCAGGTAGAACAAAATTGCCGTTCTCTGTCAAAGTTTCTTAAACTTTCAACTGTTTTAAAAATACTGGACTGGATTAATAATACGGCAAAGGTCTCCTTTAACTTTCAATCGTGGTTTGAACAAATATTTATCAAAACCAACACTGTTATGTGGTGTATACAGAACCCCCTTAACGGAAAAAGGGACATTTTTAGCAAGGTATTTTACACTTAATTTTGTTTAGAGGGTACAGTGAGATTCGTGCTACTGATAGACAATGATCTTAGAAGAACCTAGCAAATTACAAGCAACGTATTCCATTTGCCCCGTAATGGAAAAACCATTGCTCGTGATCGATATTTTGCTATATCTGTCTGGAAATTTAAGTAGATGTGCATGATATATGAAATGGATACATGTAAATTTTTACTCAAGTCTACGTGAGTATGTAGAAATAATAATTTTCAAGACTTGTTTTTTGCCTGTTCATGAATATCACGTAAAGCACTATATATGAAAAAATACAATGCTTCTATGAGATAGCATCTATAGTTTTTATTTAGCATATATTATGAATATGCCTTAAAATTTCTAAACTATTTATAATCTGAGTTCTTAAAAAACTAAACCGCACCTTATACATAACAGGAAGATGATGGCGACGGCGATTGCCAGACGCAAGTGACGCTCGTGATCGCCTTCTATTCTACTACGTGCTGGCTATCATTCACAGGTGCCACTAATAGAGTCCACTTATAGCTTCTATGGCCTGAGCTGTTAATTCGGTACTAAAGTGGACTCGTCTTTGGGGAATCGACAAATTATGCAAAGTGTACGCTCTTAACTTACAACCTCAAGCTTTCGACAGTGTATGCTGTCATCATCAGGAGTGTGTCAGTGAGATTGGTACTAAAAAAGCTGGATTTATGAGGAACTTTTTGCAGTGTGCAGTAGTGCACTTCCTCCATAAGTCACGTTCACCGCGAGCAGACGTGGCGTCAGATACGACTAGCCAGTACCCGAAGTGAATTATGGCGATCAGATCCCCATCATACGATTATTTTACATAATACAAAAGTATCAGAAATGAATGAAAATTACTTCCCATTTTAAAGTCGTTGCCTTTAATAATAAGTTGTACATGGAATCAGAAATTTGCTTGCAGCACCTTTGCATGCTTTACTATTAAACTTGAAGTTTTTGGTGGACCATTCGACACTATTTTTTGATGGCAAAATTGGAGTGCTTCTAGGACATCTGACAGATTACAAACTTTCATTTGCTAACACTGTTCTTGCTCATGTTCTCATATACATCTTTAGTTGAACTGATTACTATTTTTAGCTTCATTTCATTATTAGTATTGTTAATGGGGTTTTAATAAGGGTTCCCCCCTTTTGCCCCAATTGGATAAATATGTTTGTGAACCCTTAGGAGTACTGCCAGATAAAATGTAGTTTTCCAAAACTTTTGCAAACTATTGAGAAATATAACCTGCCATATTATAGCAGGAGATCGGTTACGGTTATTGTAAGTTTTTTGATCAGTCCCTTAAAATACCCTCCAAATGCGTTCCTAGAGACGAACTACTTTCTGATTGTGACTTATCGGCTGCAAAAAACTTGTCTGGACTCAAATGCTAGACTTTGAATTAGTCGTTCAATGGCCTTCGTAGTGACTGACGACCTCTCATTCGGACTTGTTTTGAAAATGTCCTTGTTATGACCTTGAAGTGATTTTTCAAAGGCTCTCACAAATACAACTAATCCCAGACTTAAATCAGCGGCTCAAAGGACCCTGTTTTCTGAAAATCATATAAGTGCCATAAAATTGTATTTTGACAGCTTTCGGTGACTAAGTGTCAGTCTATAGGATGTGTCTAAAAGTTTTAGTGTGCCAGTGATGGAACTGTTATCTTTTGAAATCGACAAATTAATATGTTTTAAGCCGCAAGGAGCAAATGAAAAATGATACTGCCAATGAAAGGCCAAGACAACTAGAAAATGTTAGCTTCTCAAAGTTTACATGTATCTCATACGATGCTAGCAAAATGTTGTAATTCTGTTTCAGAATTGCCTAAATGTAGCTAATTGAACACGGGAAAATTGAACGTGAATATGTTTAAATATATATATTGTTTGTCTGTAAGCGTACAGTTTTGTTGTTTGACATTATTAATCATAGCATAGCTATCACAGAAAATGTACATAATAGTTACTATTTCACTTGTATGGATTGTATATAATCTGAAATTGTTCTGAGATATAACCCTATCCCTCCCTTAGTAGCTTTTTTGTTAGTTAACTTTATCATTCCCTTTATTTATACTTATATAATATGTATATGCAAGATGTTTATTAGATTATATTAAAAAGTTCGCCAAAGTTTTTACTCGTCTTTTTTACATTTCGTTGGTAATTACAAATTATTTTTTTATTGAGTTATTTAAGTGATTCATTGGTGAACTTTCTGATTATATGTTTTACTAAATTAGCTATCTTTTTCTATGATAAGAACAGCAAATATAATGATTTCTTTAAGCATAATTTTGATTCATTTGTGGATACCGCCTTTGCAAAATCTAAAATTTGCTTTTACCGGACTATATCTGAAATTAAAGAAATCGAAGATACGAAGATTAGTAGATGTCAGTTTGTGGATGGGTCGATTATAAAAATGTCTAGTGAAATTAAATGCGTATTTCACAGGTATACCGTATCTTCAAGTGGGGTAAAGGAATACTAAAGTTTTTCAAGCCAAACGCCCGAATAGTAGCAGATGCCGTTGGGAGATTAACGATCGTCGTCCCTTGAAATTAGATGTTCAAATTTATTATGCATACATGTATTACGAAAGTCTAATACGTTGTTTGGTGTATTAGAGAAAACAGTTTGGTGAAATTAACTTCGCAAGTTTAACTGGCAAACACCTCGAACTAACGAAAATCCCGCATCCGGCAGACTCCTGCGGAGCCATCAAATTCTACATGTGAATATTTGTTATCAAGACCACAGAATCGCAAGATGGTATGGAACCACTAATCTGATCCTGCAACAGAACTGGCGGGAATAGTTACCTGCCCAACAGGTTGCAAGTACCTAAGATAAGTAACCTTAATCAAATTCAAGCGAATAACCAAATCAAAATGGTATTTACCATTTTGGATTAGTATTTACCGATCCGTCAAGCGAGTGTGTGTTCTATCAGTTTGGTCATAAGGTCCGTGACGTCAGCAATCAGCTGTTATGTGTCATAGTTATCACCGTAAAATTGTGGTATTTACCCAACTCCGGAGTAGTTTTATATTTCTGGTTATTATTAGAAATTGTACAAGTTAGAATTTTGGCGGGTATTGGATATTTTTGTTGTACTTCAGCTTTATTTTTGGGAAACTTGATACAGGTTGACTTCAATTTTAGCATAGAGCACCTTATCAGTTATACTCATTACGTGTTGGGGACACTTTAAATCTAGTTCCTATGCTTAACTAAGTATCCTGTGTAGCCATATACCACAAGGATATTAAAATATGGTCATATAAACTCACTGGATAGTGTCCACCTGTATACTGCTTTTCTAATTTGCTAATATCTTTTTCCTATGATGTCCTGGTAAATCAATAAATGTTTTCTTTGAAATACGGAAAAGTTTAAAGATTTGAAAGTTATCATAGCTACAGTCATGGCTTCACCATTAAAATTTTTGGCGTCATATCTTTTATTGTTACGACAAACTTGTTTTAAAAATAAGAGAGATTTTCTCAAGTGATTAACACCCGAACAATATTTGCTAAAAAAAACATCTCCCATTAGCACCGATTATTAAGTAATAATGAAATAATCAGAAATATATACGCACTTTTCTAAAATAAACAACTTTCAACAAAACCGCCTTTAAACAAACGCGTTCACGCGATTCGAGTAACTGACGTCATCATCTTAAATTACATTATAACCGCGGTAAATAACAGAAATTTTGGTTATTCGCTTGGATTCGATCTTATTTCATCAAAGATGGGGAATGATGGAGCCCTCAGGGTAGTAACCTGGGACACTTCTTTTCATAACATTTACTCAGTATGCAAAAAATGCAAAATCCAAATTTTTGTTGATGATACTTTAATTTGTCTAAGTACCCAAAATTCTCAATCAGATACCCGATTAATGATGATTTAAATCTTGCATCAGAATGGCTAATATCTAACAAATTAAAATTGAACACAGATAAAACAAAACTATAATAATGGAAAAAATGATATTGCAAATTTATACGTAAATATTAGGGGGCAAAAACATTGATTTTGTACGTATAGATTATTTCAAATACCCTGGCATAATTGTTGATAGTACGAGGGATGTCTTTTAAGTTTTGCATATGGAATTGAAACAACATGGTAGGTAGTTTTAAATGACTTTATTGTCTTTCGACGTATTCTCCACGAAGATTAATACACATCTGCATGCGCTCGAAAAAATTTTCGAAGCACTTATTCCACTTGTTTGCTGGCAGATCCAAAACAGCATTTTTGAATGCGTCAACTGCTTCTTCTGGTGACTGGAACTTTTGACCACGCAGTCTGTCTTTAATTTTCGGGAAAGTAAAGAAATCGTTAGGACTTAGATCGGGACTATATGGGGGATAGTCCAATAATTACACATTTCTTCCGTTAAATACTGAATTGTTTTTTGGGCTGTGTGCGAGCTTGCATTGTCTTGGTGGAGGATGATTTTTCTTTCGGGGTTGATTTTTCGAAGCTCGTCGATGACTTTTCGCAAACAAATGGTGGTATACCAATCCGCAGTAACAGTTCTTTGCTCATTAAGAGGAATTGTTGCAATATGACCCGCTTTTGACATGAATGTCGCGACCACCTTTTCGAAACACTTCGAGAACGGATGAACTGTTGGCTTTTCTTCACCTGGGAACACCTAAACAGCCGACTGTCGTTTATTTTCTGATTCATAACAGTAAATCCACGATTCATCACCACTAACAATGCTATACACATTTTTGAGTTTCCGGAATTGAAACGGTCAAGCGTTTTTTGACACCAATTAACCCTGGTGATTTCTGTTCTTCAGTCAACAGGTGGGGTATCCAACGAAAAACTAATTTTCTTACTCCTAATTGTTCATGTAAAATTTTTTGAATTTGAGATCTCCAAGGACGCCTCAATCTCGGGATATGTCACATGTCTATCTTCAATGATGAGTTTGCGCACAGCATCGATGTTTTCCTGGGTTACTGCCGTTTTTGGTGCACCCACCCTGGAATCGTCGCTAAGACTCACCCGTCCACGTTTGAATTCTCCATATCGACGGGAACTTGTCGACTGATGTGGCGCTTCGTTGCCGAAAACAGACAGTAACTCAGCAAGGCATTCTTGTTGCGATAATTGTCTCTGAAAGTTGTAATAAATTATGGCGCGAAAATGTTCTCGGTTGAGTTCCATTTTTCTAATGACTTGGTGACACTTAAAAATTCACTGTAGTGAGAACACTGCACGTATCGTTGTGAAACTTTGAATTTAAGTTTACTAAAGAGTGAGGTTAAGATTCAGTACTGACGTACGATCCGCGCGGCCTACTATGTTCTATATGCAAAACTTAAAAGACATCCCTCGTAGCTTAAATTCTGAACTAGATTATGAAAAAATTATCAATAGTGATAGTAGTAATCCATACAGCAAGAAATTCATAATTTAATTTTAATGCCAAATTTTTTGTATCGCGCATTTGTGTTTTACCTGCCTAATGGTTTCGTTTTCTAAAGATTTTACAAAATAAATGTATGATAATACTAAATAAAAATATATATGCTCCAATCAATCAAATGCGCGCTACGGCTCAACATTAAAAATTTGATTAAATATCTGCCATGATTTTTATTTATAAAATGAAAAATAATTTATGGCCAACATGTCTATCTGCACAACTTCTGTACATGCCGGCTATCGTTTCTATGACACCAGATACAAGCAGGATTTCCATTTAAATGCAAAAACGCAGTGTATGTACGAAATCGGTTTTCCAAGCCTAATGGATTTCAATAAACTAGATTCATATATAAAATGACAAAATAGCCTGAAAAAAAAATAAATCAAAACTGAGGAATTCTCATGTAAGAATTGCAAATATGACGCTGCACCATATGGTTTGAATTTATTATTATTGATATACAGGGTGACTTCGAAGTTGAGTCATTTATTTTAACAGTGAGTAGATCTGATCAAAAGAAATGTTTTTTTCCTTTACCATTTTTCTGGTAAAATTAAAGTAACAAAGTTATAGCCCTTTGGAAGTTTGAGTACCGCCCTGTCTCAATAATAATATTATGTACTCCTGTTTGGCGACAACGGATATAATCCGCTGTATCGGTTCATCGCATCGGAAACAAAAAAGCGAAAGAATTTGGAACGATGTTTTTACATTTCATTCATTTGTATACAGTCAGTGTCAGTGAATAGTGGTATCTGTTGCGTGGCTCAAACGAAATAAAAAATGGCACATGTTTATGCGGATCGGTTTTCCCAATCGAGTGCAACCAACCCCTCGTGCCTCTTGCCATGAACAACAAGTGATAAAATGGTCAGGTTTTTCTGTTAAGTTTTTGTGGTGGCTGCGTGTATTGTTTGGTGATAAAGAAAACATTCAGTTTTCATACATTTACGGTGTCAGTTAAATGTTAAATTTCGTGTGATTGTTCAAAATGCCTAGAGTACGTAGAATTCGCCGGGTGGCCCAGCTTTGAGAGGGGTCGAATTGTCGGGTTGCGTGAAACCGGTCTATCGATAAGAGAAGTTTCTAGGAGCACCAACAGATCCTTACGCAGTATAGGGGAGACAGGGAGGAATGAGACACTACATTTATTTCCTAAAATCGGGAAGGCAGAGCCATCTGTTATCCCATGAAATAGACGTTTAACAAGAATTTTGGGTATATAGGGAGACATGAGACAGTTGTTTTCGGGAGACATGAGACGCCTCATGCCTCCCTATGTAGCGTTTTATAAAATCATCTAATCTAAAATTTCGGTTAAACATCTGAGTCACTAGATTAATAGTATTCGTGAAACAATTAAAACATGCTGATCTGATTGAGAAATAATTGGATAATACTGTTTCAGATACAATATGCCCCGTTTTTGGATTAAGAAAACGAAACGAATAGTTCCACCTTCTGACGTGATGAAAGCCGCAGTGGAAGAAGTTCTTGGAGGAGCTAAATTACGCGCAACTGCAAGGAAATATGACATAGACAAACAAACGCTGAGCAGATATGTGAAAAAAAGGAATTTGGATGCCCTGCTGAAAACATTACTTATTCACCTGATTTTAAAACTGCGTTACCCATAAAGAAGACGCTAGTCTATCGGATTATCTAGTCCGTGCTTCGCAAATGCATCATGGTTTAACAGTTACGTGCGCACGTCAACTAGCCTTTCAATTTGCTAAGGCCAACCGTAAAAAGTATCCTATAAAATGGGATGAACAATCAATTGCTGGCTACGATTGGTATCGAGGTTTTAGACATCGCCACCACGAGTTATCGCAGAGGACTCCATAGTCAACCAGTTTGTCACGATGTACGAGTTTTAACCGCACAAATGTTACCACGTTTGGAATCTGTCCTAAAGCGCGAAAAGTTTGAATCTCATGAGATCTGGAACATTGATGAGACAGGGCCTACAACTGTACACAAACCAGCCAAAGTCCTGGCAGCGAAGGGTGTTAAACAAGTTGGGAACGTCATGTCTGCTGAACGTGGCACATTAGTAACTTCCTGTTGTGGTATTAGTGCTGAAGGGAGATTCGTCCCGCCGTTTTTCGTCTTTCCAGGAGCACATTTTAAGGAGTATATGTTACGTGGCGCTGTTCCAGGAAGTGTTGGAGTTGCTAATTCCAGTGGATGGATGTCTTCCGAAAACTTTGTTGTTTCCTGGATCACCTCATAAAGCATAGTGGTTGTTCCATGGAAAACAAAGTATTGCTACTAATGGATAAGCATGAGAGCCATATTTCCGTTGATCCCCTGAGGAAAGCAAAAGAAATGCTCATTTTTCCACCTCACTGCAGCCATAAATGCAGCCCTTGGACGTATCGATTTATATACTTCCCTTTAAAATATACTATGATTCGCAGTGTGCATCCTGGATGGTTTCCAATCCAGGCCAAACCTTGTCCCTTTACAATATTGCTGTTTTAGCTAGTCTAGCGTTCGAATTAGCTTTCACACCAAATATTCAAGACGACGCCTCAATGTCAAAAGCCCACGTGCAAGATCGCACACTAGGCAAAATTTTGTTAGTCCAGAAATTTTGCGACCGCTTCCGAAGGCAGGCCCACGAAAATGGATTACAAAACGAAAGTGTGGTTCCACAAGAATTCTCTACCGATACACCAGAAAAAGAAGCAATAGAGGCTGAAGCAACTGCTCGGAAGATAAAAATGTCCTTTCGTTGAAGCATGACGATCTTTTTTCAACAAGCAACAAACAAAAATCTTCACAGAAATCTGCAACACCACCACAGTCTTCTTCAAGTGATGAAGAGGAACAAAGCGAGTTGGGCGGAAGCAGCGAAGATATTTCAGATGTTGAAAGCTACTAAAGACAAATGCTTCAGATTAAAGCTCATGAGGGTGTCAAGACCCTCCAAGTAGGAGACTTCGTTTTGGTTAAGTTTTACACAAAGACTTCAACTATGCATTATGTGTCACGGAACCACCTGGTAATTTGTTTATCCACCAGTGGAAGATATTTCTTCAGTCCGAGAACAAAATATAGTTTGAAATTATCGTTTCCAAAAAATGTGGGTGGAACAGAAAGAGTTAAATGTACTATGACATTTGGTCTGGACTTCCGTTATTATCAAAATGTCCGTTGATTTTCTTTATTATTGTGTCATTATTTTTTTTTCAATCATTAATAGACAGTTTTCGTTGTTGATTAATAATTAATAAACTTCTTGAGTTGTAAATTTTCTTAATTTTTTATTTCTTCAACAATTAACAAACGTTTCTCAAAAGCTTACAATGTCTCAGTGCTCCTATAGCTTGTCTCAATGCTCTCTTACCTAGGGAGCCTTAAGACAATTTACACCATTTGGTTGAAATATACTAAGTGACATATAAATCCGAATACCCAGTTTAAATGGTTTTTATTTTAATAAAAGTTGGTGAATGTATTTATCCTACTGTAAATAACAAGTGAACAAATTTTCAGCCTTATCAGTTGGACATTCCGGTTTTTATACTGCTTTTTTTTTTAATTCACTAACGCTCTAAAAGGGGACCTCGGTTGGCCGCGTGGGTCAGAGTGTCGTGCTACTGATCAGCCGGTCGGCCGGGCCGCGAGTTCGAATCTCGCCTTGGCCATGGATGTTGTGACGTCGTGTGTTTGTCCATAATTAGAAATGTAAAATATAACAACCTAGCTTCTGGCTGCATGGATTAGGTCCTAAAGCCAAAAAAAAAAAAACGCTCTAAAAATGAATATTTCAGCCGCAGTAAAGAATCAACGTTGGCGGATTTTGGTTCTTGACATCCTTTACGATCGGTTACGATGCCAAGAGTACGGAGACCTGTACGATTTCGTCAACTTAGTGAGTTTGATAGGGGCCGTATAGTGGGACTTCGGGAAGCTGGACTTTCTTTTCGGGCAATTGCAGTTAGAGTGCAAAGAAGTGTAAAACACTGTGGTTAGGTGTTGTCAGGCATGGCTTCGAGAAGGCCGTACGCAAAGAGCAAGGGGCACTGGACGCCGCCGTAGAACAACAGACCGTGAAGATCGCCGCCCAAGATTATCTGGCCTTAAGGGACAGTTTCTCCACTACCAGGTCCATTGCAGAACACGGAAGACCTATTGGCATGCGAAGTGTTTACCGACGAATGAGAAGTTTTGGCTTGTTTTCATACCGGCCACACTGGGTCCTCCCTTTAACTCGAGAACACCGACGTAATCGCCTTGAGTGGTGCAGACAATGGTCACTCTGGGATCAGGAATGGAACAGTATTGTCTTTAGTGACGAGTCTCGATTTTGTTTAGGCATGCACGATGGTCGTGCCGGGGTTAGAAGGCGACGTGATGAAAGGAGGAATCCACAGTTTTTTGTTGAAAGACATGTTCATCACACTGTTGGAGTTATTGTTTGGGGTGCTATAGCTTATGGTTCCAGGTCACCTTTAATCTTCATCAGAGGTTACATGAACGCGCAGCGTTATATCCACGAAGTTCTAGAACCCCATCTTTTACCCTATCTTGACACCCTGACAGATCCAACTTTCCAACAAGATAATGCCCGACCACATGTTGCAAGAGTCACAATAGACTTCTTTCAACATAATGATGTCACATTGTTACCATGGCCACCAAGATCTCCCGACTTATCCCCAATTGAGCACGTGTGGGATATGATGGTAGGAGATTGCTCAATTTGCAACGTCCTCCTCAGACTCTAGAAGCACTTCGAGAGGAGTTGGTGGTTGCCTGGAATGAGATACCACAGGAGGACATTGACCACCTGATCAGAAGCATGCCTAGGCGCGTGGAGAATGCGTAGCACATCAGGGTGCATCCACACATTATTAAAGGTCAAAGGGCTTTAAAGCATTTTAAATTTTTATCATTTACGTATTATGCTTCATTAAGTACTTATACAAAATTTTATTAAAATAAAACATTTAAAACTGGGTGTTCGGATTTATATGTCACTTAACTGAATAATTTGGAAGCATGAAAAGTTATGGCAAGTTTAGCTAAATCGCACACAATTCACTTGCCCTATATGTAATCTTTGAATTGCAAATTGTATAATGTGTGCGAAATAAAATTCATTTTTTGTCTCAAGTCTCCCTAGTCTCCCCTACTGCAGTTTGGCCTTGTTTCTTATCGCCCACATTGGGTGCTACCTCTCACAGCTTTGGTGTAGCGAAAGAATTCTTTGGCACCGGTAATGGAATGCATTATTGCCAACGTTGTAGACGAACACAGAAATGTTACTTGCTGATCAGGTGTTCACCGGTAGACGTCAAAGCAGGATGGATACTCGTGACATAGGGTATAGAACACCTTTATGACCTTTTCCTAGTAGTTTCTTTCCTTGTTGGTTGGGGTGTTTCTAGATTTTTACTGTTCCGTGACAGCGTCAGCGTTCCCCTATTGTGCAGTTATGTTTTCTTTTTAATTGCAGGAAATTTCAGGCTGATGAACAGATGATGTAAATCAAAAGCATGAACAACTTGATGCAAATAAATATTTGTGATATAAGCTCAAAATAGATCGCAGACACCGAACAGTAGAAAACTATGAAAATCAAGCAGGTCATAAAGCCGTCCTACAATTGCAGGAACGACTGACGATACGGCCCTTAAACCTACCTTAGTATGCTTGAGGTTTTATTTACAGTTTTGCGAGGCTAGATCATATGTCGCAGATCGAGACTGTGCAGCTTCTAAAATGTAACAACATTGATTACCTCTGATTTATGGACAAAGCATAAATAAAACACCAAAATATTTATAACGTTATTTACTTAAGTGCAAGATCTCACTCCATACACTTAATTGCTCACTCTGGACGGAATAACATCTTCCATATTACAAAACAATACAATCAACCATCAGGGTCGATTAGGAAAAAATATCAGTTCCCAAACATAACACAAAAAAAAGAATGTCCATGAGTCCTGTTATAGCTGTTCAATGACAAAAAGTTTCAATTTCAAAATAAAAAATGCAAAAGTCATACTCAAGTTTTATGCATTGTATCTGAAAAATGCACGAGAATAATAATTTGGATTTTCATGTAGACGCCAACTGATGTTAATTCATAATCGATAAAAATGCCATAGATAGAGAAGCAAAGCAGCGTTATTTCGGCTCTGTGCCTACGGCCTGACCGTTGAGATTACGTTCCCTATCTACAGCTCCGGAGTCAGTATGTGTGCGTCTCTAGTCCCCCTTACCTTCGTCTTCCTCCCCTTTCTGTACGCCCATGCTCCTTGGAGCGATGCGCGCGCTGGCTAGTGGCGAGCGATTCCCCGCTCGCCCTTCAGTACGCTTTTATCTATCGCACGGATAGGGTGTGTGCGTGTGCGTATGTGTAACATCGCGAGTTAAACGTTGTGTAACGTTCGAGAGAATAATAGTATAAAGGTAAAGAGACAAAAACCTTAGTTTGACAATTTAGTGTAGATGGCTACCATTTGATATAAATTGTCACGGTCTCGGATCACTCGGTCCAGACGTGAGACTCCCTTCTAATGCATCTTGGGCAAATTCGCTAGAGCATAATATGGGCACTTGTGTGCAAGCGCACAATGCCCATTCATAGGAAAATTGAAGGGAGTCCTGCAGCCGGATCCATCTACACAATGTTTCGGCCCGACCGGCCCGTCAAGTCGGCCCGACCAGCTGCAGACTTCGCCCGACCGGCTGCAGACTTCGGCCCGACCGGCTGCAGACTTCGGCCCGACCGGCCGCTAAATTCGGCCCGACCGGCTGCGAATTTTGGCCCGACCGGCCGCTACGTTCGGTCCGACCGGCTGCAAATTTTGGCCCGACCGGCTGCAGAATTTGGCCCGAACGGCTGCAGATTTCGGCCCGACCGGCTGCATTTTTGGCCCGACCGACTAACTAATTATAGCACATCTGCTTCCAGATGGCGATGGCAACCAATTTTGTTACTCTGGCTGAACTCTGGTCCAGCCACGTTGAAATGGAGGAAGAAGATGAAGCGATATTTTCCAGAATCAGGTCTTAATAGAGAACAAAATTCGCTTCGCCCTCCCCACATTGGAACTGGTGAAAGCATTCTACCCAGAAGCAACATCGGTGGGAGAGAAAACCTACCGAAATATAAAATTGAGGCTTCTCGACTGGAACCTCTGTAGAGCATTGATCATGAGCCACGGCAGGTAGCGTGTCAGTTACGAGGATCTATGGCTCAAGCGGAGCTCTTTAATAAGGCGGTGGAACCACTTAAACATACTATGCGTTCCAGAGAGCTGTCGTCGGAGGCCCTTTCAACGGTCTAATTATACGTCCCGAAGTAAAAGGAGACGGTGTCAATCGTCCAGCTCAGACGACGAGTACCCGGTCAGAACCGAGAAACCAATGAAGAGGAGGCGGCGAGTATTGTCTTCGAGCTCGGAGGAGGATGTCAATGAGACAGGCTACGCCGCGTGGAAAGCATGGTCGAGAATCTTTACCACTTGGTCTCAGGAAATGAAGAGAACGATGGCAGCGTCATGAATTCGACGTGGCAAGCTCCAACTCCTACAGGTGAAGAGCTGTATGACGCCGACAGTATTGGCACATGTGGCAGCGTAAACGACTGGGACACGTTTCTCCCCTGTCACTAGGGAAATCGAGCCTACAGTCCCTAGGGCGGACCCAGTAATCGAGACACAGGGCATGAAATGCCAGCGTTTCGGGGAAGAGACATGGAACAAGATTCGTTACGTGGACGCTCAGAAAAAACTCCACGCATCACCAGTCTTCAGTACTCTGAAGGTTAACTCATCCTTGTACAACAATGGACATGCAAGCCCAATGACAGATATGTTATCCAAAAGTGACCTGGCCTTCGGGACTATCTCACACGGGTCTACTGAAGCAACGGAGAATCATACATGAGGCTCTGAAGGAGGCGGGGAACAAACACCCGGAAGCGGCAGACACTTTTAAAAAAGTTTTGCTGCTAACAGTGAATACAAGACCATCTCGGACGACCTGCTGCAGTTCGTTTGCGGAAAAAGGGCGAAAATCATCGAAAGTCGCAGGAAACTATACGAGCCTAAAAGTAGTTACTATAGGTCCATCGTCAATGAGATTCCTCCGTCAGGTACGCACTTGTGGGATGAAGAGCAGCTGAAAGATGTGTTAAATGCATGGAGTGACGAAAATTGCTCCTGTCCGCTGGCAGAGTAATTTGGGAAAAGTCGCACTGAGACAGAAGGTGCCTCAAGGAACTTCTCATGAAAAGTATCTGCGTCAAGGTTCATTTAAAAAAATGAAGAAGGCAGAGTTTAAGCATTCGCGTAAGCCGGGGGCGAAAAGTCATACCAAGCTAGCTCGTAGGAGCAACCACCTAGATAAAAGGGCGGAGTTTTTGACAGTTTTCAGGCAGGACAACTCGCCAAATATGTCTCTGCTTGGAAAGTATGGGAGCCTCACAATCGATTCTCAGTATCCTGAAAGGCTACGTGATCCCTTTCTCAATAAAGCCACCATAACAGTACTATCCCAACCGATACTAAACAAATTCGAGACACCAGCATCCACACAAATGGATCGAGAAATACAAAACCTCATAAATCAAAAGGTGGTAGAAAAACTGCAAACAAAAACAGGTTTCTTATCAAAGATGTTTTTGACGCCGAAATCGGGGGCTTGTGGAGACCAGTGTTCAATCTAAAAAGATTGAACAGCTTCATCACGCCCAAGAAGTTCCGCCTTATGAACCATCGCAAACTGCCATTATTTCTCCAGGAAAGAGATTATATGGTAAAAGTCGACCTTTCTCAAGCATATTTCCATTTGCCAATAAAGCAAAAGCATTGGCGTTATCTGGGACTTTATTACCGGCAAAACATCTACGCTATGACAGCACTACCATTTGGCCTAAGCTCCGCTCCACAGGTGTTTGCAAAAGTTACGAACTGGGTGGCGAGCTACTTGAGGAAACAAAACATTCGAGTAATGGTCTATTTGGACGATTTTTTGATCGCAAACCAGAATCCAGAAGAACTAAAGCGAGAGGTATCCACCCTGATAGATACTCTCATAAAGCTGGGTTTCTGCATCAACCTGGAGAAGTCCGAAATAAGACCTACACAGAAATTGGCATATCTAGGTATTATGTGGAACACCATAAGAAATCAAAAGAGTTTACCGGAGGACAAAATCCACCGTCTGCAAACATCAATCCAAGCTGGAATCAAGAGCAAGACTTGGAGCTGGAAGCAGGTAAAGGCACTGCTAGGGAGAATGGAATTTGCCTCGTTTGTTATCCCATTGGGTCGACTACATTGCAGAAAGATACAAAGAGCAGTCAATCGGATGTCAGAAAACCAACCAAAGAAACTGTTCAATATAGACCTGGACGTAATGCGAGAGCTAAGATGGTGGGAGAAAAACTTAAAAGGGTCCATCCATAATCTGCATGAAAGAACCGGAAGTTCATATAATAACCGATGCCTCAAACACGGGCTGGGGAGCCCAAGTAGGAGACACTTTGAGGAAAGGAAACTGGACAGAGCAGCAGGAAAAGTGGCATATCAACAAAAAAGAAATGTTCGTGATCTACTTAGCGCTAAGAAACCACCTAGATCGATTGGCAAACAAAACACTGTTAATTCAGACGGACAACAGGACGGTGGTTTCCTACTTGAGAAATCAAGGAGGGACCAAGTCGGTCACGCTTTGGCATTGACCAGGAAGATCCTGGAGCTGGCACATCAATACAGTATGTCTCTGAGAATAGAACATATTCCAGGAAACTACAATATTGTGACCGACCACCTATCCAGAGGAAAGGATCTGCCAGACTGGCACTTATCAAGGATAGCTCAGAAGAGGATCTTCGAAAGTGGGGAACCCCTTGCATCGACCTATTTGCGACTCCAGAATCAGCCGTCGTTACAAGATTTGTAACGCAATTCCATGCAAGGAGGCAGAATTCGTCAACGCACTTACAGAACGTGGGAGTACAAGCTAGCGTGGATATTCCCTCCTCCACCCCTAATACCAAGAGTTCTCCAACACCTCAACTATTGTCAGGGAGTTTTCATAATGATAGTCCCCAGGTGGGAAAGGGTGTTCTGGCGGCCCCTGCTGAAGAGACGTGCCATCGACCACCCGTTCACCATTCGGAATCTGAAGGCTCACCTGGAAGATCTTCAAACCAACCAGCCTCCTCCAAAGGTAATGGATTTACACCTGGAGGCAGGGAAGATACGGGGTGGTCCGATATAGCGAATCACTGGTCAAAGGATGAAAGGAGAATCTTAGAAACATCCTGGCGCAAGTCAACTCTCAAAACGTATGCCGTTTGCATGGAAAAGTTGGCAATCGTGGGCGAAGAAAAGAAGAGTTTCAGTTAAAAATCCAAACCCCACGCAGGTGGCTCAATACCTCTGCTTCCTACACAACACAAGAAAATTGGCGCTTAGAACGATCCTATTACATAAATCCACCATTGCGACATTCTCCAATCCACTACATAGTGAAGGAGTTTCCAGTAGCCCAACAGTGAAACAGGTAATTAGAGGTATTGCAAATGCAAATCCTCCAGCAACTAGGCCAAAGATTTGGAACATCGATAAACTTCTATCTTGGATTAATGATAACCATCCAGATACGAATAGTATCTTTCAAGTGGCCCGGCATCTATCGCTGCTTTTGCTGCTATCATCGGGAAGGAGAGTCCATGACTTGACACTCCTTCGAATAGATTCTGGTTTCTTTGAACAAACCGAAGAATACATAATTTTCTGGCCACAACATGGATCTAAGACAGACAAGCATAACTACGTCCAGTCAGGCTGGAAACTCCTCAAAAATCGAGAATGCATCTGGGATCTAGTACACTGGACAACCATATATCTAGAAATATCAGAAAAGAGAAGGAACCTCCACTGTCGACCGATTCCTCAACTATTCGTCACAACTCGTGGGAAGATAGGACCGGCATCTCGGTCAGTGATAGCAGGATGGGTCCGCACAGCGTTGAAATCGCCAGGTATAGAAGGAGGAGCCGGCAGTACCCGCTCGGCAGTGGCAACATCCCGCTTCAATGATAATATGCCATTGGATGAGGTTTTGCAGAAAGGAAATTGGCGGGGATCAAGCAATTTCTTCAAACCATGTCACAGTACGCTTTCTAACACCGTGGCGCGCCGGCAGATTGTAAACACTTCTCAACGGTCAGGCCGTAGGCACAGAGCCGAAATAGAACAATTTTCCCCCTGAAGGGAAGAAAATTGATATTTCGGGTCTTGCCATAGGCCTGACCTAGGTAACGCCTTGCCGGCGCAAGAGTACTGAAGGGCGAGCGGGGAATCGCTCGCCACTAGCCAGCGCGCGCATCGCTCCAAGGAGCATGGGCGTACAGAAAGGGGAGGAAGACGAAGGTAAGGGGGACTAGAGACGCACACATACTGACTCCGGAGCTGTAGATAGGGAACGTAATCTCAACGGTCAGGCCTATGGCAAGACCCGAAATATCAATTTTCTTCCCTTCAGGGGAAAATTGTTCTATTTTCGGATGATTTCTGATCATGAAAAATGTTACTTACACCAGTCTGTCTATTGATCATTTTGCCACTGCGCAACCTCAACAGCCGTTGCAATGATTTTAATGGGAGAGGAACCAACATTATCCATTACATTCCATTAGAATCCCTTCAGAAAAACATTTCCTGCTGCACTTATTGTAGAAGGTTGTTATTCAAATGTATCTACTTCTTAGCCTATGCGTGCTACTTTCCTTAGAATCTTCATATACCTAGAATTCGAAAGATTCCTATCAAGTAGTAGTAGTGGTGGTGGGGAGGCGAAGCCTGGCAACTAGTTCACTTTCAGTGGCTCAGCTTGCTCCTCAGGGGCCCCGTATCAAAATTTGGAGGAGCCTCACCCAATTGTGACGAATCCCAAAGGGAGGATAAAATTTGAAGTAGGTATAGATTTCTGCAAAAAAAACATAAATGGTTGCATTGAATAATATTTCGAAGGAATTTGTCTCAGTCAGAGGAGGTGAATCATCAGCATTAGATAAGTTTCTGTAAAAGTGTACCTATGAATGCGAGAACTAAAGAAATTCAGATATTTTTGTTTTGCTTTGCGATGTCTACAACACGTAAATCCATGAGTGATCATAATAGGCAATGAATGCTACTTCGTTTTTGAAAATAGTTTTAGTGACATCTGTGTAGTGTAAAATTGAAATGGCTTTCAGATCATTTCAAGTTTGTATTTGTATGCTTTCCACCTTTCTGAACATTTTTAAGGGTACTCAAACACCTTTTTGGGAAGAACACACTACTTACTCCACAAGCCATCTACGGGTAACTAATTGTTGTAAACTAGCTCCAGCGATGCGATGTACCTAAGGTTTATCTTGCATATAGACAACCAACATCCATGGTCACGAGCATCAGGTCGACGACTGCTACCGCGATGCGCGCACCACTCAGCTACCGAAGCCTCCTAATTCATATCAATCTCTGTGAAAAACTCAGTAAATCTAGTTGACTCCATTTTTTCTTATCCTTTTTACTTCCTATGCCAACTGGCAAGGAAGTATTGTTATCTCGAAAAATTTCGAAACTGATACTATGTTCTTTGGATGTTAAACATGGTCCATCGAAAAGGTCGCACCTCCATTTGTAACTCTTTTGGTATATTTTGGAAAAAACGCCCGGACACGACAATTTTGATTTCAAACTCAAATAGCTTCACAGCGATTGAAGATAGGTATAAACTTCATTATACAAAAGTTAGTAAAAACTTCGTGGATAATTAAAAAATAAAAAAAGAGTCATAAATGGGAGTGTGACCTTTTCTTTAGACCACCCTGTATGACATGTATATTACGAAAAACCATGTCACTAATTTCCGTCGGTTTGTCTGTCTGT